ATAATTAAATTCTTCTCAGAATTTTATTTCAATTTTTTTTCAAATAATTGTATTCATTCAAGAAATTATATAAAAATTTAAAAAAAATGAATTCTTTCAAGAATTTTATCAAAATTTTACTGAAAATAATTGAATTCTTGCGAAGAAATTTATTATTTACAAAAATAATGAAATTTTTTTTTAATAAAATGTAAAATATTGAAAATAATAATTGAATTCCTTCACAAAGTTTTATTAAAATTGTTTTGAAAATAATTGAATTCCTACGAAGAATATTATTATTTATGAAAATAATTGAATAAGAATTTAATTATTTTCATGAACAATTTAAAAATTTTAATGAAATTTTTGAATATAATTTAAGTATTTCAAAAAATTTCTTTGAATTTTTTTGAAAATCATTGAGTTTTTAAATAATTTTACTTGAAAATTATGAAAGTAATTGAATTTTGCGAACAATTTTTTTCAAATTTTAAAAATAATCGAATTTGTAAACAATTATCAATAAAAATTTGATTATTGAAATTAACATTTCTAGAAAATAATTCAATTTTTTTCAGAATTTTATTACAATTTTTTTTGAATAATTGAATTCTGTCGAGAAATTTGAGAAAAATTCTACTGAAAATAATTAAATTCTTGCGAAGAAATTTATTATTTATGAAAATAATGGAATTTTTTCGAAGAATGTTATTTAAATTTTAGAAAATAATTGAACTTTTTCGAAAAATTTTTAAAATATAATTGACTTCTTTTGAGAAATTTTATTAAAATTGTATTGAAAATAATTGAATTCCTGTGAAGAATTTTATTTCGTATAAAAATATAATTGATTTTTTGTTGAGAATTTTATTAAAAATTTTAGAAATTAAGGAATAATTGTAATTAATTTCTAATAATTCATTTCTTTTGTCAATTAAAAAAAAATTGTTCCCCATTTTTTCAAAAATTAATTAATTAATTGAAATTAATTTTCGTTAATTAATTTCTTTTTTCAACCTAAAAAAAATTGTTCTCTATTTTTTCAAAAATAGTACAGACACAAAAAATTTACTTGCGTCATTCCAATTATTTATAGAATTTAAATGACAATTGTTGGCTTCTAACACAAATGGTAATAAAATTGTCAGTTGTGAATTTTTTAACTAATGATAAAAAATAATAACAAAAGATAAAAAGAAATAATGATTGAAATTGATAAAAAGCTGTGTAAATAAACACTTTTTTTCTGATTATTTGCAATTTTTCGTCTTAAATAGTATTATAGTGCTGATTATAATTAACTTTATCGATAATTTAATATTAATTTTGAATAATTGTTTATATAAATAACGAACATTTAAGAGCCATGCAAATAAAAAAAAGAATTACATTATCGCGAAGGCGCATTTAAATATTTAATATACATTTATGACAATGAATTACTCAATCATCGAAAAAAATTTCACTTCCCACGCAATGGAATCAATTTTCCACTAAAATTCCATTCAATCGTTTTTTAGTCATTTTTGTAAACTTCATTTTAAATTTATTTTTAAATTTTAATTTAAATCTATTTTTCAAATTTATTTTTCTTTCTTTTTCCCTAATAGAGAAAAGATTGTATTGTTAAATTTTAATTTTTTTAATTTTTTAAATTTATTTTCATTTTCATTTGCAAAATAAATTTTGCAAATTAATTTTTCCATAATGTTCAATTTTTTAATCTCCATTTCGAATAGTTTAGAAATTTAACAAAAGTTTAAAATTCTAGTAGAAAAACAAACTTTTCTTTAAATAAAAAAAATTATTTTGATTCCAAGGGAAGTGAAATCGTCATCAGTAGATTTGAAAATAGTCTTCAATATAAATAAACAATTTTTATATAAATAAATTTCAGCGTAAACTGTAGTTGAAATTTTTTCCAGATTTTTTAAACGAATAATTCTCAGAATTCCACTGACGTTTCGTGATTTCATACGGTCGTATTTCGCTCCCTATTCTATTTTCTTTTAACAACAATTACCCGTTTAGTGAATATCTTAGAAAATTACAATAATAACGTTGCGCATGCGTGCATTAGAAATATACATTATTTTGAGTAAGAAAGCATTAATTTTGCTTTTTTTTTTTTTTGCTTATTATAAATAGCGAATAATTGTCTCTAAAGACGGAACTTTAATTAATTATAAATTTCTAATAGAATTTGGTTTACTGGTCATATTTAAATTTTCATTTCTTTTAAATATGTATAATTGAGTCAAACGTTCTGTGACTGTGAATGTGTCTCCTGACAAAAAAAAATATTTACTGTACAGAAATATTACACTATATAGGTATTACACAGTAAAATCTTTTTTTCTCGAGTCAGGTAAATTTTTTTTTCTTCTATTTTGGCACACAATTATTTTAAATACATTTTTTTTTAGAAGCAGATCGAAAATATCGTGATTATTACATAAATGACAATCAGACTAGTTGTAGTTGGGTTTTAACTATTAACCAAATTATTAAATATAATACTTTTAATTCTATTGTGATTTTTGTAGTCGAAAGTATTAAGCAATGCAGCCAGAGACACATTTTTAATTACTGAATTTTTATTTCTTTTAATTTTCTTTTTCTTGTCTTTCTTTCTTGTATTTTTCATTTATACCTTTACTATTATTATTTCTCCAAAAATTTTCTCATTTTCTTTTTTTTTATTCTAATTTAATTTCTTCCAATTACTTTTCTAATTAAAATTTAAATTTCTCCCTAATTTTAATTTTTGATTTTTAATTATTAATTTTTAATTATTATTTTTAAAGAATGTGTCACCTGATAATTTACTGCTTGTTTAGAAATTCAATTTTTCTTTGAGAACTACAAAATAATTTTTAATGATCTATCTACTAAATTTAAATTCTTAACGTATTTCGGATTATATATATAGTTTTCTATTAAAATTAGTTATGTCATTTCAGCAGAACAACTGCGGAGATTCCACGCTAAAAAATGTGTACTTTACCACATTGGAAAATTGACTAATTATTGTATATATAATATATATTTATAGATTTATGTTTGTGTTTGTGGTTTGGTACAGCATTCAATGTATTATTGATGGATGAAATAAATTAATTATATAGATTTTGCGGCAATACCCGCTACCTTTCACCAATCGTACCTGACATTCCGAGCAAAAAAAAAAAAAAAAAAAAATTGCAAAAAAAACAAAAAAAAAAAGGTGTCCAGGACAAGGAACTGTTTCCAGTATAATATCCGCTTACGGTGATCTCGTTTTTTTCTTTCTGCCTTGTAGACTCACGCTCGCAAAATATGGGAATGATTTGACTCTCCTTAATTGGAATTTGTCTGACGTTTTAAAAATATTTATCGTATTTATCATTTTTTTTTTCTATTTTAAATTCGTCTCTTTAAATTGAATTTAAAATCAAAATCAATTTTTTAAATTCAATTTTTATCGATATAGTTACAGGCCTTGCACTCGATAAATAACTTTTTAAAAAAAGTAGCTATAAGATTGAAAAAAAAGTAGTAAAAAAAATATTTATCGAAAAATTAAATTTGACACATAAAAAAACTCATTTTAGACGATTCACAAAAGTCACAAAATTATTTCCCTGATTTTTTTTTATTTATTATTCACTTTTTCTCCTATTCTGCAAATGACTTCAATTTCATTGAAAAATTCAATTGTTTTCGAGATTTTAATTTAAAATTCATTCAAAAATACAATTATGTTTAAAAATCATTTTTAAAAGTAAAAAAAGAAAACTCCTTCAAAATACCTATAAAATTTATTTCAATTAAATTTGGCAAAAATTTCCATAATTGCAAATTTAATTTAATCATTTGAAATTATTTACATATAGGTATTATAAAATTTTCAAAAATGTCAAGTTAAAAATCTTTTGAAATTTAATTATTTTTAAAAATTCAAATAATTATTTATGAAAATAATTTAATTCGCTTGCAATATTCAATTATTATCTAAACCTTTTATTGAAAAATTCATTTTTAAATCAATTTTCATTAGAAAGTTCTACGAGAATTCAATTATTTAAATAAACAATAAATAATTTATTGAATAATTGATTATATCTTAAAATTGAATTCTTTTAAAGAAAATTAACAAATTTTTTTGAAAATAATTGAATTACGTAAAAAATTTTACTATTTCTGAAAAAATTGAAATTTTGTAACGAATTTTATTAGAATTTGTAAAAATAATTGAAATCCTGAGAAGAAATTGAATATTTATGAAAATAATTGAATTCTGACGAAGAATTTTATTAGAATTTATGAAAAGTAATTGAATTATGACGAAGAATTTCATTAAAATTGCATTGCAAATATTTGAATATTATAAAGAATTATGTCATAATTGCATTAAAAAATATTGAACCTTATAAAGGATTTTGTCTTAATTTTTTAAAAAAATGAAATACTTTTCAAGAATTTTATTAAAATTTAGAAATTAAAAATAATTGAATTTGTGAAAAGTATTTATTTTATTAGTTATGAAAATAATTTAATTCTCGCGAAGAATTTTATTAATTTTCTTTTAAATAATTAAAAATTCCCGTGAAAATTGTATTATTTGTCAGAATAATTGAATTCTTGCGAAGAATTCTATAAAATTTTTTTTTAATAATTGATTTTTTTCGAAAAACTTTATAAAAATTGAACTTTAAATTATTGAAAATACTAGTAAAAAATTTTATCATTTATAAAAATAATTGAATATTTGAAAATTTTTTCAAAATTTTTTTAGAATATTTGAATTCTTTTGGGAAAGTTTACTAAAACTGTAAGAATTGAAAATAATTGAATTTCGAAAAATTTTTGTAACTAATTGAATCGTTTTTAAAAATTTTATTCAAATTTTTGAGAATAATTTTTTTATTTCAAACTTTCAGCGAATTTAAAGTTGTACAAATTCTCAAAAAAAAAGAAAGAAAAAAGTATTTTTTAGTGTCACAAATCTAAAAAAAAAGTATCCAAATAGTAGCAAATCGTAAAAAAAAATAGTGAATAGTAGTCAATTGTAGATTTTAGTAGATGAGTGCGAAGCCTGTAATTAAATTTTCGTATCCAAATAATATTTAAAATTAGTTTTTCATATTACTGATTATAGTGTTTTAATACTCCTATAGCATTCGGTTCTTAAATATTTCCTTATCAGTCGTTTTTTATTTATTTTTTTATGTAAATTCCCAATCGAAGAAAAAAACTAGAATATTTTTATTCATTTTTCTCATTTCTTTCAACTATTTAAAATTATTCATTGTTCGTTCATACGGAATTTCCCTGATTTTTTATAAATATTCTTTGTAAATGTTACAGTAAATGTTACTTTAAACACTTTTCATAATGAACTTTCTAATATTTTTCTCTGTATTCGTCTTTATATTAGAAAAATTCATTTTTGTTATAAACAATCTTTGTGTTTGTTTGTTTTTTTTCATAAAATATTGCGCTCCTATTAATCGATATTTCTTTTTCTTTACACAATAATATACACATCTTGAATAATACATGTACACGTAAATAAATAAACTCTTTGAAAAGCAAGTTTATATATATGGAAAAAAACGAGTCCACCTCGAAGCCAAATAAATTAACCTACTTATAAATAAGCCTTTGCCTAATGTTGCATTTCAATGTCAACATTATTTTCGTATACTTTAGAATTGCATGTATGTACATTCTCAAATAGAGAGAACTTTTTTTGTCCTAATGAACATTTTTCGCAGGTACTGTGGCTAGAAAAAACCACTTAAATTCAGACTTTTTTTTTCTTTTTTTTTAAATAGAAATGTGCTTTTGGTCCGCTGAAAAAAAAATAAACAAAATATTATAAATAATTGGAAGCGATTTTAAATCTACGATTCTATGCCAAGATTGGTTTTTTTTTGTGATGCATAACGCTTTGCCCTGAGTATCAATTTGTACATAAACCTTGACTACGAACCATATTTTTCTCATACACTGTAAGATTCAGTCTTTGGGAGGAAATTAAACACAAGTGGATCTCACCGATCCAATGGTACATCCTCTAAGTTTGTTACATTACCGAAATGTTGAAAACCATTTTTGAAGATTCTCCCCCTACTGGTGCCTTGATCCAGAAGAGTGACATTGTCCTCAAACTCTTTGATCCACCTCGCCGTTTCATTGCCCCAATGAAATCGAACCGGCGCCGATGGCTGATACACTTTCTTGATGCCAAGTTTACGAATTTCCACACTCTCCTCGGAATGATAAAACGAATTCTCACAAAAGTCCTGAGCCAAAAGTGACTCTAATTCGCCGACAATTTCCATAAAAGTCGGCCGTTCACTCGGCTTCCACTTGAAACACTTCTCTATCAATTTCTTCAGAGTATCCGGACAGTATCGCGGAATACTGAGTGTGCCTTTCCTGAGGACAAAATCAAGAACGTCTTCATTCGAATAGCCTTGATAGGGCAGCTCGGCGAGTGTTACTATTTCGTAGAGAACGACCCCGAAGGACCAGACATCCGAATCGGACGTGAAGACACCGTCGGAGAGATTTTCGGGCGCCATCCATCTCACTGGTAATAAACCTTTTTGTCCTATTTTGTAATAATCCGTTTCGTAGATATCGCGAGCCATTCCGAAATCCCCGACCTTGCAGACCAACTTATCGGAGATCATGCAATTCCTAGCAGCTAGATCTCGATGAACGAATTTCTTCGACTCGAGATACGCCATCCCGTCAGCAATCTCGGCTGCCATTCTTATCATCTGCGGAGTGTCCGGCACTGTCGGTGTGTCTCGAATTCCCCTCAGGTACAATTTAAGATCCCCGTTGTGCATCAACTCCATCACGACGTAAGTTGGCATTCCCACCGATATCACACCCAGAAGTTTCACAATATGATACGAGGAGAAATTCTTCATAACCGAAGCTTCATTCAAAAACTCATTCTTCTCCCTATCGTTCGCCGTCTTTGGAATCGTCTTTATCGCCACGTCAATCTCATCATCCAATTTCCCCCGACAGACCATTCCAAAATTCCCCAGACCCAGCTCCGTGCCAACCTCCAGCCTACTCCTCTCAATCTCCCACTCGTCGACAATATACTTCGTCTCCATATAATCCGGATTCACACTAGCGAACAATCTCTCCTGACTCCTCTTCCTCTGATGACTCTTGAACAACAAATAAGTAAACACCACCACCGCCAGGAACAACGCCAACGGCAAAATAATCGCAATCGTCATCGAATTATCCTCCTTGAGTCCCACCGAAACTTGCACCGCCTCCGAAAACTCCCCATTCCCCGCCAACGATGTCGATCTCACCCGAAAATTATACCTCCCCGGACTCAAATCCTTAATCTCCCAAGCACCACGTTTCTCACGATAATTCCCCACCTGCACACACTCGCTCACCTTCTTCGCGTCTTTCACGTCAATATTAATATATTCAATCGTATAGGAAACAGTGATTCCATTGGGTGTGTGGGCCGGTTCCCAGTAGACGATAACGGAACTACTGTTCGCATGATTCCTCTCATGTGCTCGAACATTTCGCACATTATCAGCGTCGATTGTACTATTCGTTCGTGTGGTGGTGTACACAGTTTGCGAACACATTGACGCTTCATTATCGCCGACTTCGCCGCAAGCCGCAACCGAGACGGTGTACACAGAAAAATGTCGTAACTTACTCAATTTATAAGAATTACTCTGCGCACTCACATTAAAGACAAAACTAAAATAACTCCCGTTATAAGTCTCCTTTAAACCTAACGTAACAAGTCCCTGTCCATCGGAACGACAATAATTTTTCCTGTCCGGCAACCAATGATTTATGACACTTGGTCCGTGGCAGAATATTTCAAATTTCTTTTTCGTTGTAATTACTTTGTTCTCCGTGCCTTTTGAATAGCACGACGAGTCAGTGACCGGTGTTTTAATGGTAATTTCCTGCGGTTCCTCCGTCTCGATCTCGGTAACTAATCCATTCTCGCAATAATTCCTCTCCATCGCCAATTCATCGTCGTCGGGTCGCATAAAACCGGAAATAACATAATAGGCGATCGGTCCATTCGGCTCCTCGGGTGAATTCCAATTGACGATAATTTCTCTCGAACTCAACGGATAGGAAACGACATTTGTCGGAACCGATGGAACGTCACTCTTCGTACGGAAGTAAATTATTTTCGACTGACCAACGACACTCGAGTATTCCTTCAACTTCTTCCTCGCTGTAAACGTTTTCACATACACAGCATATTTCGTATAAGGTTTTAAATTAGTAATCGGTTTCGAAACAATAGACTCTTTGTTTAAATTATTATTCGGATTCTCCACGTCCTTAATTTGCCAAGTGTTATTACTGCAAGAATTCCCCTCGTATGTCACATTTTTACTATCCGTTTCGATGTAATTCAAAAGATAACTCAGAAGAAATTGATTCGCATCTGGTGTGTAACTATTCCACTGAAGCACCGCATAGTCCGAACCAAGTTTACTGACAGTCATGTTAATTGCCGAAATTTCGCAGGCAACTTTCTCTCCATTCGATATTGGTTGAACTTCCAAGTCACTTGGCTCTGGCATTCCGAGTTCTCTACTCAGATCGTAGATTTTTTGCAGACAAAGTTTTGAATTATAGTGAAAAAAGAGCTTACCGTTTAGTATTTTCAATTGTTGATTCTTGTTAAATAGATCGGAGAGATTGGGATTATCGAGAATGACGAGACTCGAATTATTAATATCGAGTTTCTGGCCTTTTATCACTTTTAATTTCTTGAAGAAACCCAAATTTGTGATGTGAAATGAATGTGTTACTTTCAGATAGCCGGTAATTTCTTCAATTTGACCAAAAGCGTCTGCCAATTCGTTCATAATATTTGGACTTCCGCTCCGAATTTGAAATTCCAGTGCACCATTCACCACTGATATACCGCGAAAGATTTGTGCATCAGAAATGTGATGAATAATCGCTCCACTGATGACTCTCCGACAACGACCTTCACAATCTCGACACGACGTCATCTGTAATAGAAATCTTTTATCATTTCTGAACTCGAGATGAAATAGAGATGAAACTAAAATTAAACTCTTTCCTCTTACAGGCATCGAATAGTGAGATTATTTTTACTTTTTTCTACTACTTTCAAAAAAGGCGAATTTTTTTAACTTATTTTCTTATTTACATTTATTTAAATAAAATAATGGAACTTTGTTAACTTTTCTTTCAAATATTGCAATAAAAAACACTTTTTTAGTATAAATTGCAACTTATTTCGATTTTTATAGCGTGAAAAATAAATTAGTCAATTTAAAAAAAAATTATTGTCGGGTAACTTTTTTAAATAAAATACTTTTTCGAAATAAATAATTGAACTTTTGTAAAATTCCATTAAAAATAATTGAAATTTCGTAAAATTCCATTAAAAATAATTGGAATTTTGTAAAATTCCATTAAAAATAATTGATATTAAAATTGTTGAAAATAAAATTTTGAATAATTTTAATTACAAATTATGAAAAATATAATTACAAAATTTTTTAAATAATTGAAATTTTGTAAATTCTATTAAAAATAATTTATATCAAAATTGTTGCAAATAAAATTTTGAATAATTTTAATTACAAATTATAAAAATAATTGAACTATAAAAAATTTCATTGAAAGCTTCAAATGAAAATTTGGAAATTAACTTCAAAAAATATAAAATATTTTTTAAAAAAGCAATTCTTAGAAAGTTTTTAATTATCATTTTTTTAAAACTCAATTGTTTTCAATATTTTCAATTACATAAATAATTTTTGAAAGATATAATTTTTAATTGTGATGAAGTTGCAACTTTTTTCGATTTTTATAGTGAGAAAAAGAAATTATAGTCAATTTAAAAAAAAATTATTGTCGAGTAACATTTTTTAAATAATTTATTTTTCGAATTAAATAATTGAAATTTTGTAAAATTCCATTTAAAATAATGGAAATTAAAAATAATTGAAATTTTGAAAAATTCTATTGAAAAAAATTGAAATTTCGTAAAATTCCATTAAAAATAATTGAAATTATGTAAAATTCCATTAAAAATAATTGAATTTTTGTAAAATTCCATTAAAAACAATTGGTATCAAAATTGTTAAAAATAAAATTTGGAATAATTTAAAATAAAAATTATGAAATATATAATTAAAAATTTGTTAAATAATTTAAATTTTGTAAATTCTATTAAAAATAATTTATATCAAAATTGTTGGAAATAAAATGTTGAATAATTTTAACTACAAATTATAAAAATAATTGAATTCTAAAAAATTTCATTGAAAGCTTCAAATGAAAATTTTAAAATTAACTTCAAAAAATATAAAATATTTTTTAAAATAGCAATTTTTTGAAATTTCTTTTATTTTCATTTTTTTAAAATTCAATTGTTTCCAATATTTTTAATTACATACATGATTTTTGAAAAATATAATTTTTTAATTATGATGAAGTTCACAACGTTTATAATCAACGATTTAGAAGAGAAAATATTTTTCTTGTTAAAAAATCTATAAATTTTTGTTTTAAACTGTTTTATATTCTTTCTTCATGAATAACATAAACAACACAGTTTATAAATAAAAAATTGCTGTTTTCCTTGTGGAAAATATTTTTTTTCTCATTCAATCGTTAATAATAAACGTTGTGAAATTCACTGACTTAATTATTATTAAAATTTTGAATTAAAATTCTTCACACAAATTGTTACGATTTATAAATTGGACAAAAATTCTTTTATATATAAATATAATAATATAATAAAATATAAATATTTTTGAACAACCAATTCTTAGAATCTTTTTATCATAATTCTTATTCTGAAAATAATTGAATTCTCAAAAATGTGAATGAAAAATTTGAATAACAAATTTTCAAATGAAAATTTCAAAGTGTTAATAAATGAAAATTGCCTTAAAAATTGTATTAAAATATTTTTTAAATAAGTAATTCATAGAATATTTTTCATTATAATTTTCACAAATTCAATTATTTTCAATATTTACAATTATTTATATAAAAAAATTTCAATTACACGCATAATGTTTTTTTAATCTATACTTTTATAGAATTATTATCACAATTTTGAAGAAAACAATGATTAACAAAATTTTGAATTAAAATTCTTCAAAAAATTGTTTAAATTTTCAAATCGTCTAAAAATTCTTTTTAAAAAATACAATTATTTTCGAAAAATTGAATTACAATATTTTTAAACAACGAATTCTTCGAATTTTTGTACTATAATTTTTTAAAATTTAATTATTTTGAAAAAATGGAAATTAAACTTTTTAAAAAATTAAGGTACTGTTTCTAGACTATTATTAAAATGTTTCTGGGAAATCATGTATTTTCTCGATTTGTAATTAAAATTCTTGAAAAATTTTACTATTTTCAAATAATTTTCAAAACTTCTTTCAAAAAAATTTTCAACAATTTTCAATTAAAGTTTTAGTAAATTTTAATTATTTGAAAATTTTCAATTCTAGTTAATAAAAATTTCGTTTCATATTTTCTTGACCTTTCACTGATTTCTAAATTCAATTAATCAGAACATCAATAATTTTCTTAAATAAATATTTAAACACTCTTGTGATTTATTTTTTCACAGAAAATAAAATTTTTTAATTTCAAATTCTCTGAAATTTTATTTGTTTTAAAAATTATAATTCTTATGAAATTCTACTATTCTCATGAATTTTTACCTGAACTTCTTCTCTACACCAATTATTTCTAATTATTTTTCGAGAATTCAATTATTTGAATAACAAAAGTCAATTTTTTTTAAATAAAAAAGTTTAACTACGACTCTACATGGTTTTTTTAAAATTTATTAAGAATGAATTATTGAAAATACGTTACCGAAATAATTAAAAATAATAGATTTTTAAAAAATTGCAGTAAAAAAATTCTTGAAATTAGTTTCTTAAAAGTATTTTTAAATATAATTTTTGGAACTATAATAGATTTTTTGTGAAAAAATTATAATAATAGATTTTTTTTTGTGATTTGTATAAAATAAGCTAATTATACTTTTTAATCGATTGAAACTTTTTTCTGCGCCTTGAAGTCGACCTGAGGTCTCTTCTTAGAGTAATTTTTGAATTACAACAAATTTTTTAAGAAATTAAAAATTTAGATAAGAAAATTAGAATTTAGGTAGAAAAATATTTAAAAGATAGTTAGTTTAAATTTTAAATGAATAAGAATAAATTATTTGCAAAAAATATAGTTTGAAATAAAATTTGTATTGAGATTGAAACTTACATTATGCTCATCGATGTAATCTTCATAACCATCAGGACACTGCATAACACAAGCTTGTTGAAACGGTCGCCACTTATGGAGGTTTTCTTCGTAACTTTTACGACTTTTCGATATTTGGTAGCACTCGCTTTTTGTAATGCACCTTCGCGATAAATATGAGTATCTGGAAAAATATTTCAAGTGTTTTTTAATTTTCCTCACAATATTCGCTTTTGTTATTTAATTAATTATTTATTAAACTAATTTAAAACCAAAAGTTATTTAGTAAACTAGTTTTTAAAAAATATTTCTCCGAATATTTTTGTTTATTTTCCTTCACTATAATTAATTATTTATTATTTTCAAAAATTTTAATATAATTCTTCGCAAGAATTAAATTTTTAATTAAATTAAATTATATTGTCCATAGAATTTTAATTATAATTACTCGAAAGAATTTAATTATTATTGAAAATTTTTAAATATTGAAATATTAAAAAAATTTTGATAATAATTAAATTCTTTCGAGAATTTCCATTTTAATTCCAATTTAATTCTTAAATTGGAATTTAAATAATTTCTTAAATAATTTCCAATTTAATTCTTCCATAAATTTATATGGAAGAATTAAATTATTTTAAATTCAATATTATAAAAGTTAAAAAAAGAAAATATTACTAAAACTTTCTTAATTTTTTTTTGTAATTTTTGTAATACTCACAAATTAGGAGGGCATTTTTCAATGCATTTTCCTTTATGACGATAATGTTTACAGACATAGCAATCACTCTCAGTGGTGCCTTTACAATCTCCGAGACACTGTGGATGACATTTCTCGGGTTTCTCCGTTTCTTGGCAAAGTTGCCTGGCCCAACAGTGTCCTCCAGGGCATTGAGAGCAACCTAACAAATTGCAATCAAGAATTAGTAGTGTCAATCTACATTTAGTTTAATTTCATTATATAATTCCTCTTTCTCAATTTTACACAATATTTTTAATAAATAAAAAATAAATTAAAAAATAAAAAAAAAACACTTATTTTACACAAAAATGTTTAAATCGTTTTAAATATTAATAATTTTGTTCAATTCAATTCTATAATAATTTTTAAATATTAATCCAACATTAGATATATTCTCACCCAGAAACGAGATAATAAAAAAAAATTAAATTGCAAAATAAAATAAGATTAATTAAATTCAATGTTCTTCTAATGCAAAAGAATTTATTTTTAATAGAAAAAAGTAACGGCAACTAATGTATATATGCATAAATAAAAAAATAAAATTTCATTGCGATTAAAACTATCGATAGAAAATTTTCGATAAATAAATATCGCGGGAAATTTGATATATCTTAGATAAAAAGATTTTCAAAGATTGTAACACGATTACAGTAACAGCTTAGATTTTGCGCATGAATATATATGTATATAATTGCTGGCTTGCTACTAAGAGATATCGAATGTGAAGGTAAAGTCTTCTTGGCCTTATTACAAATGCAAATGTTACGATAAGTATTATTAAAATTGATCACTGTATCCGTGTGCTGGTAAGTCAACTTTAAATGTACAATTTATGAACATTATGTGAGAAAAAAAATTGTCGAGTAAAAGGTTGAAAGTACCTGATAAATGTTGTACTCAATTAAAGAAGCACGATTATCAAGATAGTTTTAATATAAATGTAAGAAAAAGAATTTCTTCGTCTTTATTTTTTTGTAAAAAAAAAGAAGGTATATTTTAATATTTAATGAAAAATTCTTCAAATGAATTATCACTAATAAAATATATAAATAAAATTCACAATAAAAAAATAATACTATTAAAAACATTATACGACAGAGTAAAAGTTGTGTAATTTGTATTCAATTTATAAAAAGTAATATTTTTCATCAGAGTTCTTTTTATGCATTATTTCATTATAACAAGAAACGATAAAAATTTTTCATTCTCTTTCTTTCATCCAAAAAATGGTGAATTTTTTCTCAATGTAGTTAATTTATTTCTTCATTTCAAATTATTAATAAATTGTAAAAGTAATAAAATTCGTCCCTGGAGTTTAATTATTTACAATACAATTTCAATAATTTTTCCTAAATTATTATTTACAAAAATAATAAAATTTTATTGAAATTGTTTTTTAATTCAATTATTTTCAAAAGATTTCATACATTTTCTTATAAGAATTCAGTTATTATCTTCAATATAATTTAAATAACATTTCGCGAAGGAATTTAGTTATTTTCAAAAATTTTAATAAAATTTACTGAAACAATTCAATTATTTTGGAAAATTGTAATAGAATTCTTAACAAGAATTCAATTATTTGCCTAAATAATAAAATTCTGAAAAGAATTTAATTATTTGCCTAAATAATAAAATTCTGGAAAGAATTCAATTATTTCCAAAAAATTTTAATCAAATTCGATAATTATTTACAATATTATACTGCAAACTTAAAATAAATTCTTCTTGAAATTTAATTACTTCTGAAATTTTCAACTAAAATTAACAAAAAAAACTACATTATTTTCAAAAAAATATTTTAATAATTCTTTAAGAGAATTTAATTTTATTATTAAACTCCAATATAATTCTTGAAAATAATTCAATTTTTTATCAAATATTTTAATATAATTCTTCGGAAGAAGTCAATTATTTCCAGTGCAATTTTAATAAAATTCTTCGAAAGATTTGTATTATTTTCATAAATAAAAAAAAATTCTTAGAAAGAATTCAATTATTTATTAAAAAAAGTAAAATTTTTCGCAAGAATTCAATTATTTTCAATATAATTTTAATAATATTTTACGAAACGATTCAATAATATTTAAAAATTTTTACTAAAATTTTTCGATAAAATTCAATATCTTCTGAAATTTTAAGAAAAAAATTGATAAAAGTTTTATAATTCAATTATATTTTCATAAATAATAAACTTCTTCGCATAAATTTTACCATTTTCAGCAACAATTTTAATAAAATTTCTCTAAATATTTAAATTGTTTTTAAATTTTTAATAAAAGCAATCGCAAAAATTTAATTATTTCAAAAAAAAAAAATTTAATAAAAATCAAGAATCAAATTTTGAATTGCTATTATAAACAAATACGATTATTTTAAAAAGTTAAAAAAAAATCTTTTGTAAAATTCAATTATTTTCAATTTAAATTATGAAAAATACTTTATTATTTTCAAAAAATTTAAAACAATTCTTCAAAACCATTCAATTTTCAAAAATTTTAATAAAATTCTATGCAAAAATTCAATTATTTTCATTAACAGATATTATTTTCAAAGGTTGAAAGAAATTCTCAGAAAAATTCAATTATTTTCAAATTTTTCAATTAATTTCATTAAAAGAAATTATTTTCCAAAAAATTGAAGAAATTCCTCAAAAGAAATAAATTATTTTATAATAAAATTGTTCATGAGAATTCAATTACTTTCAATACAATTTTAATAACATTACTCGAAAGAATTTAGTTTTTTTCAAACATTTTAATAAAATTTACAAAAATTCAATGATTTTCCATAAATTAATTTACAAATTTTCTAAATTTTAATTTAAAAACAAAAATTATTAAAAAAAAAATTGGAAGAAAAAAAATAACTAAAACATCAAATTGCGAACAATTTGAATATACTTTCTCGAAAGAATTAAATTATTTTTAAAAGTTTTAAGAAAATTCTTCGAAGGAATTCAATGATCTACAAGTTTTGAACATTCAAGTGAACGAAATATTTTTTATTAATCATATTTTCAAACATCACTGATTCGAATAAAAATTAAAAAATTAAATTTTAAACGTAAAAACTTTACACTTAATTTTTCTTTATAGTGACGCAAAATTATTGTAATAAAAATTTAATTTGAAAAAGAAATACATAAATTTCCTTATTTTGAACGTTCAGAACTTTTGGATCATGGAATTCAATTATTTTCAATTTTTTGTTTTGTTTATCATTAATTATAACAAGTAGAAAAAAAAATTGTAATTTTCGAAATTAATTAATTAATTAATTAAATTAATTAATTCTTTTCATTTTACATATAGAATTACTTACCAGGACAATTAGACTCATTTCTATTATCCTTGATTGTATTTTCACCAGCTACAACAATGGCATTCCAATCGAGTGTAGTGGTATAGCATAATGAAGGATTTTTCTCAATACGAACAGCTCCGCGAGAGATTTTCGTCAATTTCTTCAAGCCAATCTAAAAATAAAAAAAAATTTGACAAAATTAATTTAAAAAAGTAAGTCACAGGTCGGTTGCAGGTCAGACTTATGGATAAATTTATTCAATTGGTTAACGTCAATTGACCTGTCAGTCAATTGGCTCTGACAAACAAATTCGAACCGATCGATTTTATGTCGCGTGGGAAAAATAATTAATATAATCATAATTTACACTTTAAAATTGAATGTACGTGGCCTGACTCTTTATCATGATTGATCTCAAGGATGGATGAAAATACTAGTCCTTCGTTTCTTATTTAATAATTCATTTCAAAATAGAGAATCAACTCTCCTCGGATCGACTTTAAAACGCAAAAAAAAGTCGTTTTAATCAATTTATTTAATTTAATTTTAGTCCAATTTACGGAAAAAGTTGAAGAAATCGTTTATTTTATTTTATTCATTGCTGTCACAAAAATTTAATTTTGTATTTACTTGACTTTATATTCTGCTTTTAAGAAAAGTTTTTAAATTTTGATCTTATTCTGATAAAAGTTTATCGATAAAATTTTCAATTACCAATTTTTGTAAAATTCCGTTATTTTCAAAATATTTCTTCAGAATTTTTCATATTTTTCTTCAAGTACACGATTATTTTTGAAAAATGGTTATAAAATTCTCTAAAACATAAAATTTATTTCTCGACAAAATTTACAATCGTTTGACAATTTTTGAATTAAATTTTCGGAAATTCAATTATCTTGAAGAAATTTTTATTAAAATGTTTCAGAAACCTCATCATTTCAAAATTAAATTATTCAATACTTTAGTAATTTTGTTAAATTATTTTTAATATTTATTGTTATTTATTTTCTATTTTCCGTCTACAAGAACTAAAATTTTTTAAAAATTACGATTTCAAATCTTCTGAAATTTAATTATTTCTATAAATTACAACTGTAATTCATTCAAAATTCAACTATTCTCTAGGATTTTAAACTAAAATTCTTCTCTAAATCAATTATTTAAAAAAAAATTCATTCAATTTAAATTATCAAATAATTTTAATTTGAAATTTTCTGAAATGTAATTATTTTTAAAAATTGCTACTGAAACTTGTCCGAAATTCAATTATTTTCTAGAAATTTTAATTAAAATTCTTTTCTAAATCAATTATTTTCAATAATTTTGAGAAAGTGTTTTGAAAATTCAATTCCAAAAAAAGTTCATATTTAAAAATTAATCTAAATTCAATTGTTTTCGATTCAATTTTACGAAATAATATTCGAATATTTTTTAATTAATTATTACACATAAAATATAATTATAACTCTCCAAATATTCAATTATTTTCTAGAATTTTTAACAGAAATTCTTCTCTGAATCCATTATTTTTAATAATAATTTTCATAAATTTCTTTCTTCACTTAAAATACAATTTTCTTTCATTTCAATTTTATTTGCGAAAATTTGATTATTCGAAAAATTTCCATTTAATTTTATATTCAAAAATTAAACTAATTTTGAAAAAATGAATTGAGAATTTTTTTAAAAACTTAATTATTCAAAATTTTGAAATTCTTCCAAATATTTTTTACTATTAGTTACTTTTCAAAAATCTAAGTATTTTTCAGAATTTTTAATTATTTTTGTAATAAAATTCAAATTAATAAAAGTAATAAAAATATTTTCGTTTATTTGAACATTTCAGAACTTTTGGGACATAAACTAGAATTTTTGCAAAAAATATTTTGTTGCAATATGCGGAAAAGTCGAAATAGTTGCATTTTATTAAAATTAATTTTTATTTTATTATTATTTTATTAAAATTAATTAATGATTAAGTAAAAAAAAAAACTCGAAAAAGTCTATCATCCCAGGTCTGCACCCTTGAAAAAAATTTTATTAAAATTATAACGAAATTATAATAAAATGCCAATAAAATGTCTAATTATCAATTAATTATGAAACGAAACGAAATATTTATTTTTCCATTTAGAAAATTCTCCAATATTAAACAAGCGCTTTTCTCATCCTTATAATCGCATTTAAAGATTAAATACACGAAAAAATCTTATAACTTCCCATCAAAATTAAATTAAATTAAATATTTTATGAAAATATTTTTTAATGTAAAGTATACTGTCTACAATGATAAAATTTTTAAAAGCTTTCCATTCTTCCATTTTGCTTATAATATTTACTTTGATTTTAAAAGTCTCGGAGAACAAAAGTAAAAAAAAAGAGGGAAAAAAAATTTGAGATATTTCTAGAATTTTTTCGCAAAGTTACTTTTTATTATTTTATAGTTGAGAGCATTCTGGATGATGTTTTTTTTCAATTTATACAAAAAAAAAAAAAGAAAAAAAGAAATATCTTACCTCCTGGAGATTTTGCATTTCGTATATCATGAATGCATAATCCGTCAATAGAGTATCTCCTCTGATAACTTCGAGATTTGGAAATAATTTACTGAGACTTTTTAGACCATTGACTCGATAAAGTAATAGATATCCAGTGATTTCTCGCAATTTCGTAAATTCGTATTTCAAAAAGTCCGTTTCATTAAATCTCTCAATAAGAACGATTTGCAGAAAGCCTTCAATCACTTGACAATCTTTTAGTATTTGAAAATAAGAGACATTATTCCTGATATCGATACTTGGACAAATACCATCGACGGAAGTTACATTTGGAAAACCCTTATGACTTTTATCCCGAGATCTTTCCTTCGATATAGAATTTTTCTTATGCTGCTTCTCTGTTAATGTTTGATGTCCATGTTTACCCACTGACGATTCCAGGGAACTAGAAAAAACAAATCACAAAACAATTAATTATAAAAATAAGAAACAAATATTGGAGAGAAATTTTGTTTATTTTAATAAAATTTACTTTATTAAATTAAACGAAATTTATTTTTTTGAAATTTCCTTTTTTAATTTGAACAAAATTTACTTGTTAAAATTAACTTTATTATAAAAAATTTATTTCTTAAAATTTACTTCGTAAAAACAATTTAACACGACTATTAAAATTGACTTGTATATCAATTTTATTTATATTTTCTTTATGTTATTAATTTATTATTATTATATTATTAAATAAATAATATAAATTATTTATTTATATTTATTATATATTTATTAATTCTATGATTTCTTGACAGAATTTAAAACGTTCAATTGAAGGCAATATTATTTTAAATTGTTAAAAACTACAATATTGAATTGAAAAATAAGGTAAATTCACCACTTAATTTGTTAACAATTTTTAATTATTTATAATCATTTTTTATACATAACCTTCAAAACTTTAGAAGCATTGTCTACCTATTTAAAAATAAAATTTCTATTTCTTCTAATTTTCAAAAATTACAATAAATTTCTTCAAAAATTCATTTACTTTTAAAAAAATTCGAGAAAATTTCAATGCCCTTAAAAAGTTCAATTACTTGTTTATAAAAATTCAATTATACGTAACTCTTTCAAAATTGAATGATTTTTATTTTATGAATCAAATAAAAATTATTTAGAAATAATACAATTTTTTCGAGTAATTGAAAATTTAAATTATACTAAAAATAATTGAATTCTTATAATGAATTTTCTAGAAATTTTGAAAATAATTGAATTTCGGAGAAGAGTTTTATTAAAAATTTTAAAAACATTTAAATTTCTACAAAGAATTTTATTGGAATTTTTAAAAATAATGGATTTTCTTGAAAAGAATTTTATTAATTACTAAAACAATTGAATTCTTGCAAAGAATTTTATCAAAATTAAAAAAAAATTGAATTCTGTAGAGAAATTTTATTAAAATTTAAAATAATATTGCAAGTAACTGAATTTTATAAGAAATTTTATCAAAATTCTTAAAAATAATTGAATTTTTGAGAAAGATTTTGTTAATTACGAAAATAATTGAATTTCTAAGAAAAGTTTTGTTAAATACAAGAATAATTGAATTTTTTCGAATAATTTTATTAAAATTTTGAAAAATAATGGAAATCTTTTGAGAAATTTCATTAAAAATTGTACCAGAAAATAAAATAATTGAATTCTTGAGAACAGTTTTTTTAACTAGAAAAATAATTGAATTTTTAGGAAGAATTCTTATTAAAATTTTTAAAAATTGAATTCGTTTGAGAAATTTTATTGAAAATAATTGAATTCTTATAAAGAATTATTGTATTAATTTTTTTTTTAAATTATTCACTTCTTTTGGAAAATTATATTAAAATTTTGACAACAATAATTGAATTTTGCAAAGAATGTTATTAATATTTTTTGAAAATAATTAAATTCTTGTGAAGAATTATATAAAAGTTTTTGAAAATAATTGAATTCCTGCGAAAAATTTAATTATTTTTATAAATAATTGAATTATTTTTATAAATAATTGAATTTTTGCGAAGAATTTTATTAAAATTTTTTTTTAAATAATTGAATATCTGAGAAGTATTTTATTATTTATGAAAATAATATTTAATTCTTGCGAAGAATTATATAAAAGTTTTTGAAAATAATTGAATTTCTGCGAATTTAATTATTTTCATAAATAATTGAATTCTTGCGAAGAATTTTTTTTGACAGTTCTTTAACAAAATTCTTTTAAAAATTCAAGTAGGTATCTTAAAAAATTGAATTAAAAGAATAAAATTGAATTAGAAAACAATTTATTTTGTAAAAAGTTGATATTTCTTACAGTACTTTTGATAATTCTGAAATAATTTGATTAAAGTATTTAAAAAAAATCTTTGAAAGAATTAAAAATAAAAAAGTAATTAAGTTAATTATAATTCAAAGATTTACTGAATAAAATTCCAGTGATGGAATTTTTTAATCTAGAAAGAAATACCGTTGGAAAATATAGCAGATTTGTTTTAGTTTTAAAAATCCAATAATGCTTTCAAAAACTATGTGTAAAGGAATCAAGAGTGCTCAACTGTGAAAATTATTGAAAATTTTCCCTTACGCAAACTTAATTAATTATAATTAATTGAAAAGAGGCTGCAGGCAATATGTATATGGAGAATTATACAAAATTTACAAGTGTTGATTTTTCACAATCTCTTATCAAAAAAAAATATCGAACTAATAACAGAATTTCTTTTCATTCATTTCGAAAATATTACGTAAATTTTTCATCTAATGATGAAAAAAAAATATATCTCAATTGACTCTCAATTCAATTGAAAAATAGAGAGCTATTTTTTTCTTACTACATAATTTTAGTTTCTGATAAAAAGCCAAGGAAAAAAATAACATGAAACTGACAAACAATGATTCATTCTATAAAGCTGAGTCACTGTTTATTTAATACATTCATTCTTTTTCTTCACTCTTTTTAGAACATCATTATCTTTCTGAAAATTCTAATTAAATTTCCCAAGAAAAATTTTTCGACAATTATTCACAATGCTTTAGAAAATTATTTATTTCAAAGAATTAAATTAAAAATTTTAAATTCTAAAATTAAAACAAAAAAAATTTAATTTAATAAATAATATTTAATGGAAAAATTATTTTGAATTGAAACCTAGGTCAATGGTAAAGTTATTGTGACCTTGTGTAAAATTATACATTTAATCTTTTTTATATTAAAAATAAAAAGCACTTTATGCGAATCTAAGCGAATCTAAAAGAGTATGTACGATGCTATCAATGAAAATATTTTTTTTTTACTCCTAAAAGATAAGAGAAACGCTGTTTACGTCGCGAATGACGCATCACTGACGAGAATCAGAAATGATTTATCACTCCTTCCGCAAAGTGAATTACATAACAACCCTCGTATATACGTTTGTGATAAATGAAACAAATTTACCTGACAGTTTTCTGCAGAGTAAAATAAAAAAAAAAGAATTGATTTTTTGTTAACATGTCAAACTGTTTTTTTTAAATGGCTTTATAACTGTGAAAATATTTAATTAAAAAACTTTTGTTCGGTTATATGAAAAATGTAGTTTTTTCAAAAACAAAATGTATTTTCTAATAGAAAAAATAGCATTTTTTCTTCATTCTTCAAATTTACATTTTTCTTTCACGTTCAAATTGCGATTAATTATTTTGAATTTAGATTCAAAAGTTTAATTGATAAAATTAGAAAATTAATTAGTGAAAATAAAGTTGGGTTTCCACAAAATTTTTTTTTTCCTGATTTCCAGACAAAATTTTTTAAAATAATTTTTTCTTTATAAGAATTCAATTATTTTATTTTTAATACAATGTTTAATAAAATTTCCATAAGAATTCAATGTATTTAAATTTTAATACATATTTTCAAAAAAATTCAATTATTTTTCAAAATTTTAATTAAATCCTTCACAAAAATTCAATTACTTGCGTAGTTGATAAATCATTTTAGGAATTCAATTATTTTATTTTCTGTGCAATTTTTAATAAAATTTTTCAAAAATTCAATTTTTAAAAAATTTTAATAAATATTTTCAACAAAATTCAAATATTTTTAAAAAGTTTAATAAAATTCTTCACAAAAATTTTATCAAGAATTTTTTTCTCCTCAAGAATTCAATTATTTTTAAGAATTTTGATAAAATTTCTTATAAGAATTTATTTACTTTCTTATATAATTTTAAATTTTAATAAAATTTCTGGAAAGAATTTAATTTTCAAAAATTTTGATAAAATTCTTTACTAGAATTCAATAATTTTTATTAAATTACTGAAAAGAATTTAATTGCTTTTAAAAGTTTTAAGAACCTTATTCTAAACAATTTAATTGTTTTTTAAATTTTTAATAAAATTCTCTTCGAAACAAATTTAATTGTTTTCAAAAATTTTAATAAAATTCTTTGCAAGAATTTAATTGTTTTAGTAATTAATAAAATTCTTCTCAAGGAAATCCATTATTTTTAAAAATTCAAATAAAATTCTGCGGAAAAATTTAAACGTTTTTTAAAATTTTTAATAAAACTCTTCGCAAAAATTCAATTATTTTCAGAATTGTAATAAAATTCTTTTTAAAATTCAGTTGTTGTTCTCAAAATTTTAATATAATTTTCCAAAAGAATTCAATTATTTTTCAAAATTTTAATAAAATTATTCGCAAAAATTCAATTATTTTTGTATTTAATAAAACTTTCCTCAGGAATTCAATTAATTAATTATAAATACAATTTTTTACTAAAATTTCTTGAAAGAATTCATATATTTTCAAAAATTATAATAGAATTCGGAGAATAATTCAATTATTTCTGAAAAATTTTAATAAAAGTGAATAATCAAATATTTAATAAATAAAAACAATTATTAACAGATATGAATATTTAAAAAAATTTGAAAGAAACTCTTCCATGAATTCAATTATTTTCAAAATTTTCAATTAAAATTATTAAAAATACTTAACTATTTTCCAAAAATCTTAATGAAATTCTTCAAAAGAATTGAATTATTTACGATAACTGATAAAATTGTTCAAAAGAATTAATTACCTTATTAATAATTTTAATAAAATTTAATAATAAAATTATTGATTGCAATTATTGACAAAGTTGATTTTATACAAAAAATTAAAGTAATTCTTTAAAAAAAAAAATTAAATTATTGTCAAAACTTTTAATAGAATCTATTCTTTGGAATAATTAAATTATTTTCAATATTTCTATAAAATTCCTTTAATGAATTCAATTATTTAAAAAAAATTGCAATAAAATTCTAAGAAGAATTTAATTAGTTCCTAAGAATGTTAATAAAATTCAATAATCAAATTTCTAATTACAATTATTAACAATCATGATTATTTAAAAAACTTGAACGAAATTCTTCAGAAAATTCAATTACTTT